GTGCTCGATCTCTTTGACGCTTTTCGTAACAACGGTGGTCAAATCCTTCACAAACACCCCTGTGTCTGGTCTCTCCTTCAACTCCAGCCGCTTGGACTGATCCTTTGATAACAAGTCTCTGATTTCTTCTTGGTATATTTCCAAATAAGACGCTCTAACTAAGTATTGCTGATTTTGAGATCTAGAGATGTGGGTGAAGATGTGATCGAATGAATTGGGGATGACTCCTCTCTTTTCGGGATCACCACGCACCCCTTCCATCGTATATGTTTTCCCTGTCCCAGTCTGCCCATAGGCAAAAATCGTCCCATTAAACCCTTGCAGAACAGAGTCCACAAGAGGTCTGAAGGTCTCATCGTAGAGTTCGACCTGTTTGGAATTCCAGTCATACACGGCATCAAAGGTGAAAGTTTTAGGCAGTTCATGAGATGCTCCCCGCGGATTCTTCACCGAGACCTGCCCTAACTTGACATCCACATTAACAACTTTTTCGTAGGAAGCAGTTTTCTCCTTGCTGTTCATGGGCCGGCAGCGCACCACCACCCGCACGGACTCGGAGCTCTTTGGCTTGGACATGACGGTGGGTCTGCGGCTGGTGTGATCCGATGGGTGGATGATCCCGTGCTAGAAACCTGAAACAAAAACAAAGCAGGAATGTCTGGAGGCAGTTTTCTGCACAAAGCCGAAGGCTCGACTCATCTACTCGAGCAGCATTTTGCATTCATTAAGTTGCAAGGGATTTTGGAGAATTAAAATAATGGACAAAATGAAAACTCTGTAAAGGCCTGAACTGAAACACTATTATTTTACCAAAGCTTGTGCATCAAATGGTATCACTTTTACAAGCTCTGCTGCAAAAAATCGCCATCAAATCACATTTTTACAGTTGGTAAAGATTTTTTTCTTGACCCTTAAAAATAATCATAATGCTATTTAAACTATTTATAAAGAGAATACTTTGCCATTTATTTTCTTTGCAGTCGAGCCTTTTGTTTCAAATCTCCTGTTTTGAAAATCTAGTACAGCCTTGCTCTCTCTGGCACACAATTCCGCTATTATTTTTTCTTTTGGCATTATACTTCTGCCAGGATTCTCCACAAAAGCCAGCCCTGCCCAAGCACACTGACCTATGACATCACTCCACGCTCCTGCTCAGGAGGTTTACAGGATTCAGCATCAACCTAAATTTACGTTGCATAAACCCAGTTCAAAGATCATGACTCTGGGTAGAGAGAAAGGACACACTTGTTGCATCCCCCAGTCACCAGCCTTTGAAAATGGAACAAAAAGCCTGTGTTCCTGCTAAAGCAGTCCCTGCTAAAGCCTCAGAAGGCAGATCTCAATGGCACAGCTTGGGGAATGCCGTGTGGTTTCTAATAAGCCTTTTTATTTCCAAAACATCTTTCAAGAAGAGCTCTGAGGTCCTTCTGGAACTAAGTGTAAAACCAACACACACTGGGAACCCCAGGTAGAGCTGGCACATGTTCAGGTGTGGCCTCCCTGGGATGTGCTCGCTGCTCCATTCCCATCTGGATGCACAGGAAACATGGATTTTGTCCAACTGTTTTTTTACTTGATAATTGCACATCTCAGGAGAGCTCCTCAAACAAAGTGACAGAGAACTTCAGAACTAGAGGATGAGAAAAGAACCACAATGATTCTCACCCAATATCCAATCTCGGAAAGAGTAACACAGGAATAACAAATAAACATGGTTAAAACCATGTTTAATAAACCTCAGTAAAGCCTTGGGAATTTCCTTCAGTTTGTGGGAGGAAACTCCTTGCTCCTTGCTCTTCCCAGAGAAGCACACAATAGCTGACAGGGAGATGAGGAATATGCATCGAATTGACCAAACTGAACACTCATCCAGAATTCACTTTACACCCTGCACAGTGAATTCACACTGCTGCAGGAATCTTGGGTAGCTACTGAATAAAACCATTTCCCTCCTAAGTGACAGCTCCAGATAAAGGTGACCTTCCTCTCCCACCCACAGCAAACACGAATTCTAGAGCACCAGCACAGAAAAAATATGTTAAACGAGGACAAATCTTGGCAGAATCACAAAAAGCAACTCTCCCTCCTCTCATCCTGAGGATTTGTATACATCAACAAGCACTTCTCCTGCCACAGCTACCAAGGATATTCCTGTAATTCAAGTTCACAAGAGACAATTTTTTTTTGGACAAGGTCACATGACAACCACTGTGTGACGTATCTGCACGTTCACACTGGTAAATACTCAAATTAGGCACCAATTCTGAAAAGCAGAACACAGATTTATTTTATATATTGAACATCCAAAATACTATTCTGATGAGAAGTGCCACTTTTGTAAGCAACTGTGATAAATATTACATGATGAGAATGAAGTTAGTCTTGCCAGAGGTATACATTGAACAAAAATTATGTCGCACATTTGCTGCTCTTCTGGGTGTATCTCCTTAACATGAGCTTGAGCAGCTTTTAACACCTTTCCACATTTCACTTGCAAGTCTCTTTTTATAGTCACAAACAACTGATTTCACCCCTGATTTGGGCTATTTTCATAACAACCTATCACGAATCATCTCCAATTATTTTAGCTACCGCAGTGAAGTTTACTGGAAGCATAACAAATTATGGTTCTTCTCAGACTTACCCAAGTGTGTAACTGGACAGTAAAACCAATTAGTTGGCAGTGTTTCTACTCCCTAGAAACTCCAGGGCAATGTTTGAGCTGGACAGGAATGGGCAGAAAGCTGGGAATGCTGCCGTGCCATCCACTCTTCTCCATCAAAGAGGGGAATTCCTTCATTAAATTAGCTCAGCCTAAAGTGACCTGGGCCAGGTCCCTGTGTCAAGGTCAAGCTTGAGGTGGATGCACTTGAAGATGTGCCCCAGGTGCCCAAGAGGGGAGGGTGGGCAGAAATGGAAGCATTTTTATTTCAGTAAACACAAGGTTGTGCATGAAAAAAAAATAAGCAACGTCACAACCTGAATGCAAGCTGGGGTAGCCACTTCTCCTCAGAAACTTCCAGCATTGGGAGGTGCTGGCTTGGCTGGCTGTGCCCCAGGCACACTGTCCCCAGCCACCTGCCCTGACAGGTCCTGACTTCTCTCCACTTCCTACCTTGAGCTTAAACGTCCCAGAAAGATTTCTCTGGAGGTGCCCAAACCCTTCCCTTGCATCTCCGCACATCCCCAGATATGCCACTCGAAACATTCCATTGCTCCTCGCCGTTTAAATCTTTCAAATACTTGTGGGTTCACAACGCCCTGGTTATGGACCCTCCAGACCCAAACCCTCCCTTGTGCTGCTGTTTCTCCTCTCGCCTCCCCTCCGAACCCTCCGCAGGCCGGGCGGGACTGCCACGGGCAGGACCCCGGTACTGCCGCGGTGCGGTCCGGTTACACCCAGCACCTGTGGTCACCTCTGGTCACCTCTGGTCACCTCTGTCACCGCTGTCACCCCACGGGTGTCCCCTCCCCCGGGGAGCTGGGACCGTGGCGGATCCACCCGAGCATCACCCGCCGCCCTCGCGGCTGCGACACAGGGCGCTGCAGGGAAAAGGGGACCCGAGGGCGCTCGGGGGACGGGGACAACGCGCAAGGAGGAAAAGAACCGCGGGAGGGAAGCACCGCCAGCGCGGGGCACCACCCGAGCCGCCACCGCCCGCGGCATCGCCACCGCAGCCCGCCGCGGGCGAGGCCCGCCGCCGCTCTCGCTCGCTGCCCGCCGCCCGGCAGCGGGCCGGCCCAAAGGCTCCGGGCTGATGCCCCCGCGCCGGCCGGCGGGGTGTCGGGCGCTCGGCGCGGCCGCCGGGGCCGGCCGGACTCACCTGCGCCGTCACCATGGAACCGCCGGCCGCTTGGCCCGAAGCGGCGCGCCGCCCCCGCCCGCCCGTGACGCGCTTCCCTGCAACGCCGCGCCCGCCCCGCTCCCGCACGGGAACCGGGACAAAGGGGCCGCTCACCCCCCTCCGCCCCGCGCCGCCGGCGATTCCAACAACCCCCAAAGTGCCGGGGCTTGCCCCCGACCCGGCGCGTCCCGCTGGAGCCTCCGAACTCCTTCGGAGCTCAGGGATGGTTCCGAGGAGGAAGAGACCACCGTAAATAGAAGGCATTTAGAGTGAAGCCTCCCCGCCCTCCTCGTAACAGCGCTGTCTGGACCGCAGCAGTGCCTCCAGTGCACTGCCACCACAGCCCTGGTACCACAGACTCCCGTGATGGAGGAAGGAATGTCGGGGCACTACCAGTGAATAGAAAATCAAGTTTTTATTAGTACAAAAAAATACCTTTTTTTTTCCTTTTTTAATTATTTTCTAAAAATACCCCACCCCTAACGTTTTAATACTTCGTCTTCCCAACAGTGCAGGGCAAGGCTCCCCTTGCTCTGAAGCAAGGCATGGCAGCCCTGAGGGCATCACTCAAGATCAGTAAACTGTATGAAACACCAAGGAGGAGCAAGGTCTCCAGAAGCCTGGCTCCCAGAGGCCCCAAAACCAATGATTTTCCCCCAAATCCCATGATTTTTGAACCCAGCCCTGAGGAAATAAGAGATGAGCCTTTGCCACCCTGACACTTGGGGGATCGTCTCAATTAGCCCTTTTTTGCTCCCTTCCTTCAGCCTTCAAACTCCTTAATGCTCAAGAGTGACTCCAAGGAGGAAAAGACCACCATAAAAAAAAGATATGTAGAGTTAAACCTCCGTAACAGCACTATCTGGACCACAGCAGGGCACTGGAGACAGCAGCTCTAGTACCACAGACTCACACAAGTGGCATTTTTAAAAAAGGAACAGTTCTGTATTCAGTCTTTGGACCAAAAAATGAAGTCACAGAAGCACCAAAAGGCATTGGTCAAGTTGAGTCTCACCATGTTGGGATTGTCAGTGTTACCAGCACCAAACTGTACTGGGCCAAACGGAGAGGTCTGGGTTGCTGCTTCCCCATCAATGAACAGCAACGTTCCAGAGTTATCTCCCCTGGGAACTGCCCCCCAGACAAGGGTGACGCTCTCAGAGGGGTTATTTTATAAAGTACAAAACCAAACAGAAACCACTACCATAGACCCAAGCATGACGTACCCAACCCAACTACAGCTACTTTAATAATCCTGGCTTAAAGTTTCGCTCCTCCCACAGACCTCACCGACATCAACAGCTACAAAGCTACAAGCCCTAAATCTCCACCTCTGGCCTGGCTGTGACAGATCTCCTGTGTCCCTGCATGTGCCTTCCCCCATGTTGACACAGACGCTGAAGAGGCAGCTGCCACTGTGCCCCACTCTGCTCCTCCAGCACTGCTGAAGGGATCCAGGGCCCCCCAGCACTGGGAATGGAATCTCTTTGGACAGGGAGAGGGACACTGAGGCACTAAAGCGACAGGCATCTGGTAAGGCAACAGCTGCCCTCAATAAACTTAGAGCTTTTTCAGCTCCAAGCTTCACCTTGCACACCCTTTCCAGGGATCCTGATATGCCTGACAATACTTTTGCAATTAAAAGAACCAATTATGGTCAGCTTTGAGCAAGAAGCTTCAAAACATCTCTAGGTAAGAGTTAAGAATTAACGTTAAAAAAAAGAAGAGGAAATCTGAGCAGCTGCTTCATCATGATCGCTGGTGAGCCCCAAAGAGTGAGAATGGAGAGCTATAAAAAACTACATCTTAAAAAACTATATGTAGTTTACAGTTCCCTATAAACTATAGGATTTAAAAATTCTATCTGACCTCACGTTGGAAATACAGGAGATGACAGAGAGAACAGTCTAGAAATGACCGTGAGGAGCGTCAGAGGGCAGGAGCAGGTGTGGGCAGCCCAGCAAGTGACTGCACACGGGGGAACCTGCAGCACCAAGGGCTGAGCTCACAGCCCTGAGAACCACAGAGCCTGTTCCTCCTTTGCTCAGAACTCATCCCGTAACCTGGGGGGGTGGTCCATGCCAAAAAACGAGGAGGGTTTCCCGTGGATGTCGCGCTCTCTTTTCACAAAGGCGGTGAAGGAAGAGACGCAGTTCCCGATGAAGTGATCGGACTGGCCAAGGATGTACAGATCAACCTGAGGCACTTCTGGCTGCAAGCTGACAACCTTGAGCTGCAGAGAAACAAGGGAAGCAGGTAAATCCAGTCAGCTATTGTTGCAATCCAATGTCTTGGCGTAATAGATTGTATTAGAAATGGGAATACACAACAGAAAGAGGGGGGTTTGTCTTTCACTGCCCTATAACTCATTTATGATTAGATCAGTGTCAGAACATTTTTGAAAATCACTTAGGTTTATTTAATTTAAGCCCTTTTCAAGGAGATATTTACTACCATGCCAGATAATGCTCTTCAACCTCCAGGAAACAAAGAGTTTTACATGATAATTTTTATTGCTATGAGTCAAATTCACTTTGAGATGGCAACGTTTGGCTGTGCATAACCTATTACACACAGCAGCCACGGGCCAGAATCCCAGGGAGATTTTTGCCAAAGCACTCCTGCCAGCATGGGTTTCTGGAAGACTCACCTTTCCTTGGAAGAACTGCTGTATTTCCGTTGTGTAGGGCTCGGAATCAGTAGCGATATAAATGGATTTAGCTTCAGTCTTTGTCACCCAGACCTTGAGAGCACGCTTGATCTCCCTGAGGTCTGGCAGGCACATGTCCATGGTGAGAGGCACCGCAGCGCTCCGGTCGTAGCCCACACACTGGGGTGAAGCCATGAAGTGAGGCCCGGCCGTCCCGTCCTTCAACATGTTGCAGGCGTTTTTCTATTGGAAGAGGAAAAGAGAATCATAGAATTATTAAGGCTGGAGAAGGCCTCCAAGATCATCAAGTCCAAACTTTGAATGAAATACCCCCATGCCCACTAAACCATATTGCAAAGTGCCACGTCTTCTTGGTTTTTTGGGCACTTCCAGGGATGGTGACTCCATCAATGCCCTGGGCAGCCTGTGCCCAGTGCTTAACCACTCTTTCAGTGAAGAATTTTCCCCTGATATCCAACCTGAACCTCCTCTGGTGCAACTTGAGGCTATTTTCCCTTTTCCTGTCACTGAGAGAAGAGGCTGAACCCCATCTCACAACAACCTCCTTTCAGTTTCAAAGTACCACATTTAAGTGGCAAGTGTGAGAAAATGCCACCACATTCCCAACCTCTGCCTGTTTGAAAGAATTCCAACGGCACTGCCAACACACAGGAAGCTCCTGAATGCCAGCAGGGATCAGGTGGCTGTCCCAGCACAGCTTCTTTCTGGTCAGCTTTGTCCCCACCCCAGTAGCCACCAGTGCCGGAGCCGTACCCAGTCCGAACCGATCCTCAGGTGAATCCCAACGTAGGGCCGGACCAGCAGAGACTGGATATAGGCTTCTCCCTTCTTCACCATTCCATCAGACCACTCCATGTACTTCTGGAGGGGCCGGTGCTCCTCCAAGACAGGGAACTGGGCTGGAGCTCCAGGTAAGGCAAGGACAGGGTGCTCAGAGGGTGGAAACCTGTGGAAAAACCAAACCCCAGCAGTCTGAAACACGGCATAATCCTGGACACTCCATCCTGCATTAAGACTGAGGTGAAGGTTAGAAAGGAAACCAGGAACATCACAAAATATGCACCATCTATTGCTCCAAATTTAGATCAATTTTAACCATTTTGCCATCTGACAAAGCTCACTGACATTGAAGAAATTTGGATTGCTGTGTTTTACCTCAGACTTTTTAATCAGACAGACAAAAAGTTAAGAACCTCATTGACTCAGTGAGGAGCTACCAAGCAATGGGAGGTCATATTTTCCTCCCAGACTAGAGCAATTCTTTCACCCAAACTTACTAAAGTCGCTCATATCTCTGACAACACAAAGTAACCAGCAAAATGATGATCAGCAAATGAGAGCCAAATTACTTTTGAAGATTAATTACATATGAATAATAATGAATAAACACTGTAATTAAATATTACTGGCTCAGAAATCAATCTGATTTGGTGCAATCACACCTAATAGTGCCCACAGGAAGAGCTGAGCAAATATTTAATGGAAAAAACATTAAGATTTTTAATTACATTAACTAAGCATTTCAATCTCTCCCCCAAAATGTAAATTCACAATACAAAGTCATGACTGTTTTCATGAGTGACTCTAAATGCCCACTACCTTTGGATCCAATGGTCCTTGTAAGCAGGACTGAAGGAAATTCCCTTGAAGAGCTCAGACTTATCAAAATCCACTTGGAACTGATCCCAGAACGGACCGAACGGGTTTCCATCCTGCAAAGGAAAGACAAGTGTTTGTTCAGTGCATTCACAGAGCCTGCAAGGCAGATCTAGCAAGATCCTGGAGTGCAAAGCTGGAGTTTTTCTGTTCTGGGAGGAAAGCAGCCAGAATACAACAGCCTGTCAGTCACAGGTCAGGGCCACAGAAAGGAAAATTACCTGAGAACTACTGCAAAGGCTGTCTTAAAGAAGGACACTACAGCCTTGTAGTTAAGAGAGGTTGCTTTAACACTGGCTGGAAAACTCTACCACAGCTGGGAAACAGAGAGCAGTCACAGTCAAGTCTGAAGCGATAAAATCTACTTGCACAGACCATCTTCCCATCCCCAAACACTGGGAGACAAAGAAAAGGATGAAGGATGAAAAGAAAAGCATGCCTCTCCAAAAGCGGTGAAAGGAATGCCACAAAGACCCATTTGCGGTGGGTAACTCCCAAATTTGCAAATCAACGGCGACCTGAATGCGTCAGTCCTTTCCTTTGGAACCGCAGCGGAGACAAGCCTCGCCCGCGGGGCCGAGGAATAACTCACCTTCATGGGACAAGTGCTTTTGTCCGCGCTCCTCTGCGCCGCCGCCTCGAAGCAATAAGCCACCCGCCGTCCGGGCGGCCAGTGCAGGGGGGCCAGGTGCTCCATGAACTGCTCCAGGCTGAGGACGCGGTGGTACCGCTGGAGCGGCTCCAGCCTGAAGTGCTCCGAGTAGGGGACATGCAGCTGCGGGGGGGACAGAGCCCGTGAACCGGGGGCTCGGGCCGTCCCCGCGGGAACGGCCTTCCCGGAGCCCGCAGCCTCATCCCCGGGAATCCCTCCCCTGGTGCCCCGGAGCTCACACCTTATCCCCGGGAGAGATCCCGGCTCTGCCCTCCGCCCCCCCGCTCCCTCCCTGCGCCCGCCGGGGGCTCACGTTGGTGTAGGGCGGGCGGTGGTGCCGGTACTCGATCCAAGGCGGCACGGCCAGGGTCCGGTTGAGGGCGCGGGCGAAGGCCAGGGCTCCCAAAAAGTGCTCGGCCTGGTTCCCGAAGCGACCTGCGGGAGGGACGAGAGCGGGGATGGAGCGGCGGATGGAGCACCAAGGAGATGCGACTGGAGGATGGAGCAGGGGATGCAACCGGGGAATGGGGACCGGGAACCGCACCGGGGGATGAACCAGGGAACGCACCGAGGGATGCAACGCGGGATGCGCCGGGGAAGGAACCCGAGAGGATGCACCGGGTGAGGCATCGTGGGGATGCACAGGGGAGACACCTCGGGGACCGCGCCGCGGGGACGAAGCGGGAGACCCTCACCCATGCAGGGGCAGTAGAGCAGGTAACCGGCCGGGTCCCAGGCGGGCGTCGCGGCCGCTCCCCGCCGCGTCACCGGGAGGAGCAGCAGGATAAGAAAACGAGCAGCCCCGGCAGCGGCGGCGCGCCATCGCAGCTTCCCCTCGTCGGCGCCCGCCAGTTCCGGCGCCGCCATCCGTTCGTGCCCCGCGGGCGCGGCGCTCTGGCGGCCACCACCGAGGCGTGGACGTCAACTCCCAGAAGGCCCCGCGCAATGGCGCCGCGCGGGGCCGGGGCGGCGCGCTTGGCGGGCCCGGGGAACGGGGTGACGCGGGGAGGGGGTGGGGAAGACGGGGCCGGCACGCAAGCGAGGGCGGCGGCACGGCCGCACCCTCCCCTGGGCGGCGGGGTGCCCTCAGGGGCAGGGGGGCGGTGAGGAAGGAGGAGAGGATGCGGGGGCGGGGTTTGGGGGGGGGGGGGGGGGGGGGGGGCGTAGGCCGGGCCCGCCTCCCTCCCTCAGGGCTGGGGGTGAGGGGGGCGATGTGTTCGCGTTCCACCGGGGGTTGCTTTCGTCACGGGCGCTCCGGGGGTGTGCGTCTCCGTTTGGCTCCCGAGGCAAACGGCGGAGGCGGCGGGGGGGTGTGGAAACTCGCAGGGCCCCCCCCGCCGCCTCCGCCGTTTGCATGGCGGTTGCAACAGCACCTTAAAACGCCTTATAATTTACTCGGAAACACACCAAAACCCCAACTCCGTCTTCTTCCAGGTAGCTTTGAAACTGGCCCAGATGGCCGAGCTCGTTCGGAGGAAAAGGAGCAACGACCTGGCGAGAGTGGCAGAGACTCCCCGGAGACCTGTGGAGCAGGAGGTAGAGAAACGCTCGGTTTTGTTTTGGTTTTTTTTTTTTACAGAGGTGGAAATATTCGTGGTTGCAGCACCTAGAAAGGCCAGGCTGCTCTTGAGCCACGGGGGCTGAGGAGGGGTCGGGCAACAGTTTGTCACATCACGCTGGCTCGTCCCACAGTGGCACCTCAGCACTTCTGGGTCCTTTGTTGTTCTGCTCTGCCCACGTAGGTTGAGCGTGCACAAAACCATAGCTCTGTTCTTAGTGGGCATTCCCAAACCTCATGGCAACACCTTTTCTTGTAGTCATCCCACTTCCAAGTGTTTCCCACCCCATACTGGGGCTGATGTTTCACTCACACTAATTCTTATTTCAGCTCTCCACAACGTTCCCTGAGCACTTTCTTACCAGGGGTTGGTTTGTTCCGTCGCAGTTGCACATCCTGCCCACAACTGGCACTCGTGCTGATGTGCAGCAGGAAGTTCCTCCTCTGAAGCAATCCTGGAGTGAGAAAGAGCTTGAGGGTTTGATGCTATTTTAAGAAGAGTTTCTCGGGCAGCCAAATTAAGTGAAAGATCGTTTTTATTTCAGCTGGCTGTTTAACAGTCGAGGTGGTGGTAGAACTGTTCAAAAACGTTGTACTTCTCCAACAAGACACACACAACTCAAGAACAACCTGCTAAGAGATGTTAATGTAGATCTTCATCAACATGAAAGCCAGCAGGGCTCACAGGAGCCTGTTATTTTTTGAACAGGAAACAGTTTGAGCTTCCATTATTAATGGAAGAGAGTGTCAAAGAAAAAAAAAAGGATTAAGAATTGCTCATTCCTGTAGAAAACTTGCTAATCCAGAGAGGCAGAATCTGCCTCAGAGTCGAGAAGTGAAAATGCAGTGAGTAATCCCACCCCGAAGAGGAGCAGCATCTGTTGCCTTCCTGGAAAAGGTGTTATGTTGATGGCAATTGTGAGTTTTTTTCCCCAGCCCTGTTCACTCACGTGTGATGGTTCAGGTTGGTTTGCTCAGAGCAGCAAGCTGGCAGCAGAATGGATGTGAAAAAAAGAAAAAAATACAAGAGAACCTTTGTTTCTCTGAGAAGCTCTAGGAGGGGATTCTGTGTAAGCAGAGACCAAGAGCAAGAGAGAATATGAAAAAATGGGATGAGCAGCGATCCAAAAAACACATGGGGGAAAGTATTTAGAGCTACAAGGAGACACCTCTCTACAGTGTTTCAGGAGAAAATACATGTAACAGGTAACACTGGCTTTTGACAGTTGCAAAAAAACATAATTCAGAAAAAGCTTAACGTGCTTTTATTCAGGTAACAGGTTAAGGGAAAAAAAGAAAGAAAAACTTAGTGGAGACCGTGTCATGTTCATAATGCTTGTTAAATGCTTCTCACACGTGTCTGTGTGCAGGGGTGAAGGATGCAGTTTTTTAACACCAGCCTTCTGTGATTTCAGATGAAGAAGTTTGGCTGTTAAAGCAGTTTGGTCACAGAGGGCTCCAACAGAAAACTGCACCAGGACAACACCCCAGCGAGCCGCCCGCAGGCTCGAGTTCTGCTTGACATGGCCCTGCTCTACTAGACCTGCCATGACAGCATTTTTTCCCAGTGTTCCCAACTGGATTCAAGATGCAAAGCAGGAGGAGGAAGAGACAGCCTGGAAATTAGTCCCCAGACCAAGAGGTGAAGAGACCGAAAGTCAGGGAAAATGCCAGTGTGAACTATCGGAGCCCTCCTTCCCTCACGTGGACAAGCTGAGAACTCACACGCTTTCCCATTCGGAGCAGAGACCCTACAACTGCCCCCAGCTGCACTGTGGCAAGGCCTTTGCTTCCAAGTACAAGCTCTATAGGTAGGTACCTGTGAGTGCCTCTGCCCAGCACTGCCAGAAGACAGGGGAAAACCCCTCCCTCGTGTGTCTTTGCTTGAATTTCTGAGAAGCTGGAGGAGGGGAAATGCCCTTTTACCTTGCAAAGCAGTTGAGTCCCAGACATTACCATACTTGGCATCTCTTTAAGCGCCTTCCAGAGAACCTCAGATAACTCTTTATCCCGAGCTTGAGCTGTTTTCTGTTTTACTAAATAGGAAATTGAAGCAAAAAGTGAAGTTCACAGATTAAAAAACAAAATGAAAAGTAAGAATAGCATTTGCATTCTTAAGCCCCACCTCTGACTTTAACCACAGGGATAATTCCATGGCACCTGTTGCTCCAGCATGAAGAAGTAGAGTTGCCATTTATGTACTGAAGTAGAACATAGAATAATTAAACTGTGATCAGTAGGAACTTGAAACTAGATGAACCACAGTGTCAGAAAGCGTGAGATCTCAAGGTGAAATCAGAGCACAGTGGCTGTCAGCAGACCTGGCCACAGCCTGATCCTCCTGATGAGCTGAAGTCGTTCAGAACCTGCAGACGAGCATTTTGTGTCACAAACTACTGAGGTTTTCTTTGCCAGTTGCCCTTTGGCAGCCTCAGCAGAGGGCAGGAGCTGAGGAGAGGTGGCCGCAGTGCCCCTGTGCAGAGGTGATGCGTTCTGGGGAGGACGGGCACTGCTGGGACAGACTCTGTAACTGCTGGGACAGACTCTGTACCTGTTGCCTGAAATGTTGTGCTCCTGTGCCTGACCTTTAGTGGCGGTAAAATGCCATCTGGGATTTTTATGGCATAAAGCGTAGGACATGAGGAAAATTTTGGAGAAGTAGCCTGTGTCCCCCCTCAGGGGCTGGACGCTTGCCTAACCTTTCCTGCTTTTCTCCCCAAAGGCATATGGCCACGCACTCTGCTCAGAAGCCTCACCAGTGCATGTACTGTGAGAAGATGTTTCACCGGAAGGACCACCTTCGGAACCACCTCCAGACCCACGATCCCAACAAGGAGGCCCTGCACTGCCCCGAGTGCGGCAAGAACTACAACACCAAGCTGGGCTTCAGGCGACACCTGGCCATGCACGCGGCTGCCAGCGGTGATCTCAGCTGCAAGGTGTGCCTGCAGACCTTTGAGAGCACCCAGGTCCTGCTGGAGCACCTCAAAGCTCACTCCAGGCGGGCGTCCGGCGGGGCGAAGGAAAAGAAGCATCCGTGTGACCACTGCGATCGGCGCTTCTACACCCGGAAGGACGTGCGGAGACACTTGGTGGTGCACACGGGCAGGAAGGACTTCTTGTGCCAGTACTGTGCTCAGAGGTTTGGGAGGAAAGATCACCTGACCAGGCACATGAAGAAAAGCCACTCCCAGGAACTGCTGAAGATTAAGACGGAGCCAGTTGACATGTTGGGTCTGCTCAGCTGCAGCTCCTCTGTCGCAGTGAAGGAAGAGCTGAGCCCCGTCCTGTGTATGGCATCCAGAGACATGATGGGTGGTAAGAGCTTCCCTGGCATGCTGCCTGTGGGCATGTACAGCACGCATCTTCAAACCATGCCAAGCTCAGGCATGCCCCATTCTTTGGTTCCTAATTCTCTTCCAATGGGAATGAGCTATCCTCTGGAGTCTTCTTCTCCCATCTCCTCCCCACCGCAACCTCCTCCAAAGTATCAGCTTGGATCTACCTCATATTTGCCTGAGAAACTACCCAAAGTAGAGGTGGACAGCTTTTTGTCAGACTTCCCTGGCAGCCTGTCTCTCTCATCTGGTGAGCCTCAGTCCTCTTCGCCTCAGCCACCTGCCCTGGACGAGGCTTTGCTTTCCAAGAGCCCTGCTAACCTCTCAGAGGCTCTCTGTGCTGCTAACATGGACTTTTCTCATCTTCTTGGCTTCCTCCCCCTAAATCTTCCTCCTTGCAATCCACCTGTATCGTCGGGGGGATTGGTCATGGGCTACTCGCAGGGGGAGGCGCAGCCACTGCTCACCACTTTGCAACATCAACCTCAAGAGTCTCCCGGAGCCGGGGCCTCGCTGAACTTTGGGCCCCTTCATTCACTGCCCCCCGTCTTCACCTCCAGCTTGAGCACAACCACGCTGCCACGGTTCCACCAGGCATTCCAATGAGCTGGAAATAGCACTGGAGAACAGATCTTTCAGCCACCCTTTTGCGGAGATGGAGAGCCTTAAAAACGCACAACTCTTCCTTCCCTGGGGGTGTGAAAGCTCTGCAGAGCTGGGTCAGACGGGAGGTTTCTGATCTCGGAGGGAGCACTTGTAGACTGGAACAGCTGACATCCCGTGTGAGTCCCAGTCCTGTACAGAGGAAAGATTTCAGCTAATAGACTGGATATATTTTATCTAATTTTTAATCTGTGAATCAGGAGCCGCGCTTAGCACTGACCTTCCCTGAGAATCCTGGAGCTATGTTCCTCTCTGGGAAGGGACTGTCCCTGAGGAGGAGTTGAGGCTCTTTCATCTTGGGCTAAACTTTTGAAGAGTCCAGCTTCCATTTCATGTTATCACACTGCAATTCTGGCAAACCAGCCAACACCTCCACATGGAGAAGAAGTCAGGATACCCTCTCTGTATGAAGCCAATGGGGAAGAGGCTGTCCTTCCCCACTACCTCTCATCCCATCACCCAACACAGCTTACTCCACATCAGTGTTAAGCAACAAGCCCGTTTACATAGTGAATTCAGCTTGGTCACCTCATTCTTCTTCAGGAGCCATTAGGTTAAACTCGTTACAGTGAACATTGTTTACACAATACAAATCTGTTTCTGCCAGCCATTACAAAAATAGGAGGCACCAGAATACACTGGGTTCATCTCTGGTGTAGCTAGAACACTGTTTACACAACGAAGTCAGGTTGCACTGATTTCTCTTCACTTACCATGTTCTTCCCCCATGGGGAAATACACTGCTTTCGGACCACTTCAGCCTCTGCCCCTGTAGGCAGCAACTTCCCACCTTTTCATGCTGGCTGTTCCACGTGAAGGGGATGGAGCAGCTCTCACAGCTTAGCTTGGTGTGTGGTGTATGGACAGAGCCCTCTTAAATATCTCCCCCAGGAAAAGAGATCTGGAAACCAAAGCATGTGAGAGAGCTGGGTGAGGAGCTCAGGACATCGAGCACTGGCATACCAGGCATGGGTGAGAACTGGCTGCAGGCCCTGCTCCCTGGGTTCCCTTGGGATGAGGAACAGAGTATGAGCTTCTGGGGTTTGGGGTTATTTACCATAACCATTCAGCGAGGTCAGCACCCTTTTTGGCTTATCCAGGAAGCAGTCTCGAGGTATATTTTGACCTCAATGGTGGTAACATCCAGAAATCGAGGAAAAATTGGTCCCACCTTCAGGTACACTCTGTCAGTGTATCTGAAGCATTTTCCCCAACACCAGTAGTTCTAACAGATGCTAAGGGTTTTGGCCTGCAGTCACCCTTTCACTTTGGATTTGGTTCCACTGGCCTTTTTCGTTCTCTCCTTCTCAAGCCTTCCCTCCTGAAGTTAAAAGTCCTCTATCCCTTGCTCCCTGCCCCACCTCTTAAACTCTTCCACGGGCTGACTACCTACCAGGGCAGAAGGGTTACACTGGGAAGTGGCAGCCAGCTACTGATGTCCTTTAGCATCTGCATTGTCTCCTGCTCCCCTTTTCCTGGGCACTTGTACTGCAGATGGGGACACACGGAGGTCACTCACTGTGCATTGATGCATGCTGATGTCTATGGACAGGGAGATCTTCATACCTCAGCACGGGGGAACCACTGTAGGTCAACATAAACCAGGAAATCTGTCAATATTGTTCTCCATAAATCTAGAAGATGCAAAATCTACCTCTACTCTGTTAGCTCCTTGGGCAAAGCCAGATGCTGTCCTCCCTCACCTCCCCAGAGAACATCCCCTTCAGTCGATGCAGATTCCTTCCTGCTGAGCCATGATCCCACCGTGTGACATCAGCCAGGCCTCATTCGGTCACAGGCTTGTCCCTCTTCTGTTTTACTCCAGAATTTTATTTTTAATTTAGCTTAGTAATTCTTCCCAGAATGACTCTTTAGCGATCCATTGATTCTCCAGAACATAGATCGGTTGTTTTAGGTTAGCCAGCAATGCTGCAAATAAGACTTTTGTATCAAAATGTAATATAAGATTTATTTACCTCAGCAATATCCTGTGGCAATGATCTCCCCGAGTTGAATGCAGTACTTTTTTCCTTTTCTCCACTGGAAAATGTTGCCTTTCCAAGTCCAATGAGTGCCTTCTTGTTCTCTAACCTAGCAAAGGTAAACAGGGCATTGCAGCCAGTCTGTTTACCGGCATTGAATACCTCAGGCCTGTCTTCTATTGCTTTGCTCTTTGCAAATTAAAAGAGTTTCACACTGTTACCAATTATATGCAAGCCTTATCCCTGTCTTGAGTTGAGAGGATTATTATTTTTTTGAGAAATAAATGGTCAGAACTGATCACTCACTGCCAGTGAGGATTATCAGATTTATGCAATGCCATCACACACCTTCTCCCATGCAGAACATTCAGCTTTCTTGCTTTCTGCCTGCATTGTACTCTGAACAGATGTCATCACTGGAATTCCTTTAGCAGTGGTAGCTAAACTTAGAGCCAGGCATCTTTTTCCTACCAGTAGTCTGTCAAAGAATAAATGGAATTCATTTTGCTATGATTTGCACGTGTGATTTGCTTTCCACAGCTACTCTAACAAGCAGAACTGCCATAACCTTTGTCAATGCAAGGAGAGTCTAACCCAGCAAAGGCAGATGTCAGATACAGCACTGGAGCTGATTTCCAGGAAAACAAATTCCAAGTTCCTGTTCCACAACAGAGTTTAATCTGCAAGTATTTTATCAGCCAGCCTAAAACCAATGAGACTAATTCCATTTGAAATACTGACTGTGCAATTCACAGAACAGATTATATTATAATTAACTTTTACCTGTTCATAAGAGAAAACTTTGAGCATCTAAGCTACAGCACTTGAGAATCCCAGTCCATTAGGAAGTATGTACCAAGCTATTAGGAAAACCAGTGGAAGTCAGCTTAGCCAAGCTCCTGCCAGTGCAACTGGAGGTAAGGGACAAGGGTTAACTTTGGCATGCTGTGAGGGGGATTGCTGCAGCACAGCCTGCAATCTGTTCTGTGGTGTATGTGCAGGGCTTTGTGCATGAGGCAATGGCAGACACTGTGCTGGTTATGTGATATAAAAAAAAGCTTCATCCCACGAAGAGTTTGGTTTTGGTTTTTGTTTGGTTTGGACCACGAGTTTGGGGACAGGACGTGGCTGTGAGTCAGCCCAGCAGAGCCCTGTGAACCACTGCACTGTGATCTCTATGTTCCTGGCACACCTGTATCACAGGTAGCATCAGACTGAGCCCAAGAGGAGTGACTACAGCAAGTAAATGGTCAGGAGGGTTTAGTTAAATAAATATTTTAAAGTGTGGCTGACTTGGGGGATGTCCAAGAGCAATATGAAATATCAAGACTGCACTATATTTATATTTATAATATATAAACCAATTTTGCTCCAGTCAGCAAAAGAACAGCATATGAACTTGCCAGCCTTTATAAATCAGATCCCAGATTCTCAAAAAGCCAAGGACTTAATGTCCCACTACTAATAATGATTCCAGCTCGCTCGCTAGCAAATAGCCAAGCCAAGCCATTCCCTGGCAGCAGAGGGTTAACTCACCTCACCTGTCCTCCCAGGCTCAGATTGCCAGAGCCCTGTGAAAGGCTGAAGATCTTTTCCCCCACGGGATTACAGCTCACTCAAAATCCATTTGTAGGAAGGAACAGCATGTTATCTTGCATTTTCTTCCACTGAATTTCACTTGACAGAATACCCACACACCGTGTTGTGACAGAGCCCGTTCTGTGTCTCACAACAGCACTGCTCTTTACCCTCAGTGTTGAAAAATGGTGTCACTTCAACTGGAATCCCTTTTCTCCCTCCAGTAGATTGATGATTTCAGTACTTTTGTTGTGAGCTCAGCTCTTTGTTCTTTAATTCCTTCCTTGCTGACAGGTGAATAGCAGCTGCTGGGAAGATTTCCTGCAGTTCACTGAAAAAAATCCCCATTTCTTTTCTCTGCCACTGCACCACCTATGCTGTCGGGACAGAACAACCCCGAGGAGGCATTTTCTGCTGCCTGCAATTAAAATTTCCACAAAGAAATCTTCAAAGATGCTTTTCCCATCACCCGACCTTCTTGCTTATCCTCTCTAATCCCGGTTAGTCAGGCTGACTGAATTCTCCCTCAGGTGCCTATTTTTAGTTAATTGCCTGCCCAAGCCCTGGAGATATTCTGCCACCAGAGTGAGGTGGATGAATGGCTCAAATAAAACCACTTCAGGTTTCCAACCTCATCCAAAATTTGCTTCTTTTCCATAACTTATTTCTCGTATTTTTCCCAGTTCTCGGAGATGGGAATTGCCTTGTGAAGCTCTGAATCCCATTCCACCAGACCCCGGTGTGGTAGGAGAAGGCAGTTTGGTTTAGCCTGATCTACTGGACTAGGACTGGCAAAACCTGGGCTCTGTTTTCACCCTGATCCCCAGCCCTGGCACCTCTCACCCTTTCTGTGCCTGCTTCCCTGTAACAGGCCACAGCCATACCAAGCCTCCCCTGGGAAGCAGCTGGAAGCTGCCCAGGGGGGCACTGTTACCACTGACTCAGCTTCCTTACAGGACCACTATTCCTGCTCCCCACCATCACCACATCCCTGGTGTGAGCAGACCCCCCTCAGGTTCTGCTGTCCCTGCTGCACAATCCATGCACACATAGGGCTCACCTCTGGCTATTCCCTGCACCCAGGGGCAGACTCACTTCGTTCTGCTGAATAACTGGAATCCTTTAGGAATCCTTCCACGTGTTTCAGCCATTCTTGTGGCTCCAGGTAAGGAGTCTCATTCCACAGTGCACTCTGCAATCTGCCAGCTCCACATGTTCCCACAGACCACTCGCCACTAAACGCTTCAGACTGGCACAGGAAAAAAAATGGAACTGGTGATCAGAAATGAGACCAGAAAACAGATCACATTCTGCTTCTCACAAATCCACATCAGGAGATGAGCTCAGCTTTTCTGTCCAAAGTACATACTATTTCATTGTGCACAGGGAGGCTCCAGGAGGAGCCTGAAACACCTTCACTGTGTGCTCATGGCTGAAGCTTGGTCTGTGCCATCTTTTCCACCAGTGCCTAAATATGAGCATGCACAAAGTACATACATGACACAGAAGGAGCTTCTCTGTATCAGGAGATCACAGTGACAAGGAAAGTTAAAGGCATTGGCAAATGATCAAAAAATAGAGAATTTGGAATCTGGGTATTTTTATACTATTAAATAGGTCAGTTTTTCATTTCCAGTTAGGGGAAGAACCCTCAACAATAAAGTGTCTCATTAAAAACCAGCTGTCCCTCAGTTTCACCCTCTGATCACAAACTGTGTCTTTGTTTTAAACTACTATGCAAGTGGATAACCAGCTCTACCACAGAATGTACTGAGTGGGCAGGGGACAGCTCCAAAGCCTGTGGGACAGGGACAGACACACCTCTGTCATCCAGGTGAACAGACCACAGACCTGCCTGCAGCCCTTTTCCCTCTGTAGTCAGTGTCTTGCACTTGAAGGTAACACAAGCTTTGCTCATGGTCCTCAGCAGCAGCCACTTCAAGGTCAGCAGAAGGGTGCAGGAGCCTGCAAACTCCAGCACATCCCATAACTTCTGCTAGAAGCCTCTCTGGAGTTTGTGAGATCTCCTCACCCTGCTGAGTGCCTCAGCCTTGATGCTTCGTGGGATTTTCCCACTCATACCTAGGAACAATTTTTAGAAAGGTTGTTTTGTAACATGTGTACCAGTGTTTTTCTTAAATGAGGATACTGATGAAGAACACAAGAGCTGTCTGCTGAGGTGCTCCAAGAGGCACAGAAAGGAACCTGTGGAACCACGAGGACTCACCCTTGGAGCAACTGAGCTCTGAAACTGTTGCTGGAGGAAAAGCTACTGAGCGACCTTTGCAACCACAAGTCATTTTGAGAACCCTCTCCCAGGCACAAGCTCTGCCATCTGCCCCAGGAGCCAGTGGACATGCCCTTGGAAGGTGAAGGGTTTGGGGATTAGCCCTGGGAGTGGGTGGAAGAGCCGTGGTCTCCCTCCCCGAGGCTGCTGTTCACGCTGTCCCTTCTTGTGCTGGATCTGGACAGGCCCTGTGCCTGACCTCCCTCCCTGCAGCTACAGCTGCCAAAGCCAGAAACTTCCCATTGTTAAAGCTCAATTGGTTTTCTAAAAACAAACTTTCTAGCACTTTTACACACAGTGAATAACCTCTTTTAATGGAGTATTTTGGGGGCTGTAAACAAGGTTTTTAAATTGTAATTAAGTGCCATTAGGAAATGTACGGTTCATCACTAAAATTAGCTCTTGCAAAAGAAGCTCAAATTGAAAGCATTTTTTTTATAATGAAGTTGTTTATTAAAAGCATTTGGATGATCTGCCCCGGGCATCTTCTTGGGGAGGAACTGGGGTTTGGTTGGTTTAAGTAAAGACAGAATCATAAAGCAGGTCAAAGACCCAGTTCCCTGCATGAAGCCACACGGGTTTGTCTTTCAAGCAAAGAATTACACCCCTGCAAAAAAAGACCCAGCACCCCCCTGGGGATGCAGCCACAGCCAACACCATAATCCCCTGTCAGGAGAATAATGTTTGTTAGACAGAAAGTTCTGGTCACTTGGTTTCACTAGAATTTCCAGCCCATGTGGCAGCATTTCAGACGAGTCCAGCCCACACCCCCTCCCAAATAACCCCGACATGCTCCACTCCCCAGGGGCAGCAGAACCAGGACCAAACCTTAAGCTATGAGCAGCTGCAGGCACCGGCAAGCATTTGGAGATGAAAAAGGGTGAAGCACACCCTCCCCTCTTGGGATTCTCCTTCAGAACACAGATTAAGAGCTGACAGCCACGATCAGTGTTCAGGTGCTTTTCTCTAGGTACGATCTGGTTTTCATTCCTAAAGCAGCTGCTGGTGAAACGTGCCCTTTCCTCAGCAGCTTTCCCCCGGAGCTGAGGGCTGTGACAGGACATGAATACACTCAATCTGCCAAAAAATAAGAAAGAAGTTCAGCACAGATTGTCCTGTTGGTGGAGCTGAAGCTTCCTTTGCCTTTTTTAAAAGGAAAAGAGACTATTCTGATGATTTCCAAGTTTTGATTCAAGCATTTGCCTGCTCTGGTCTCAGTCACAGACGTTCAGCAGCCCCTGACATTGGCACCTCTGTAACCTGGGGGAAGCACATTCATTGCTCTGCTGGGCAGAACGTCTCAGGAAAGGGGATTTCACTCTCCCTCCCTCAGGCAGCATTCCAATGGATGCTGGCTGCTCTCCTGCCATGCATTCCCCCAGCAAAACACACAAGCTCTGGGAAGCCATGGATGACAATGTTGAAGGCTCTGCTTCCACAGCACCAGCACAAGTCCAACCTCCCATTTGGAAGGAAATGGCAGCCCCATTCTGAGCTGTCCTCTCACTTCTGCTGCTCAAAAGCACCAGGTATCTGTCCAGCACTGCCATCCAACAGTCCTGCTGCTCTTCCCATCATTGCTACACACATCAAATAAGGTATCTCACACGAGAGACAAGTTGCTCAAGGGATCTTACCCTGCAGCACATCCAAATGCCTCAACTGGTGGCAAAATTACAATATATGGCAGCATTCAGCACATGCCACACTAGGAGAAACATACTGCTCAGTCAAGTTTACCAGGAGAAAAATATTGCAAAGAAAACTGAAGTATTCCAAGCTCTGCTTTTGTCTGAAGCCACACATCACAGACCACGTGGGTGTCAAACAGGCCAAGTGTTACAAAAGGAAATTCTCCAGAGGTGGCTTAGGAGAACCCAGGAGAGCAGGATGACAGGACAATGGCAGATTTATTTACAATAGGACACAAAGAATACATACATTAATTAAAAATTACAAAGAATACAGAGAAAACAGTTCAGGAAAGGGAGAGAAATCAATGCTGGCTGAGCCTCTCCACTGGGGCAGGGGCAGAAGGAAAAAAAAAGGAAAAAGAAAACAACAGACCGATCAAAATCTCAGAAAAGGACCTCAAATCAGAACTGACACAGGACTCCACAGCACAGCTGGCTCACACATCCCCTGCACCCTTTTTCCATCCATGATTCCTGGCTGATTGGACTTTGGCATGATGAGCAAGGCTGACGGGAAGGGATATGGGCCCTTGTGTGGACCTGGTGGAAACTTATGGCAATTAGGGTTAAAAAGAGCCCCAAAGCCCTCAAGGGTGCACATCAGTGCTGGGAGCAGGGAGGGCTTTGGACAGTTCTGGGTAGAAAGAGTGTGACCTGTGGCAGCTGGTCATCAGGAGACCTTACTACAAGAAGCAAAACTTTCTTAGATCTCACTAAAAAACCTCTCCCCTGTAGCCCTGACTGAATCCAGCTAGTCTGGGGATGTAGGGAGTCTGCACTGCAATGTGGAACCTTTTTTACTGATAAACATCATTGAAGTGACCAAAATAAAAAACAACTTTAACCTCTTTTAAAAAGAGCTTCCCGTGGGCCAATTCAGGCATCAAGCCATGTGAAAAGAGCCCACATCAGCTGTCCTGGAGGGCTTGGACTGGTTTTTGTGGAGAAGAACAAAGTACAGCTTAGGGGCATACACTTTTCCTGTTCCCTGGAGGTAGAGAATTTCAGAGGAGGAGCAGAGAGCAGCGAGAGTGGCCGGCCCCGGAGGGAGGGCTGGCAGGGAGACAGCCCCACTCTCAGGCCATGGGAGAGCTCCACAGGGCCACCTGCTCTGTGCTCAGCCCCTTCAGCAGGGCCTGCACACCCCTCGGGCAGCTCAGGCCCAGCACTGCCTCAGATTGCTTGGCACTGACCCTGCAGAAGTGTCTCCACAGGCTCTGCGTGATTCCGGCAGCGTTCCCAGGATGGAGCCTGCCCCGTTACCTCATGCATATGGAGCAGAGCTATTGACAGAAAAAACCCTTGTAGGTACCTCACACATCCTTCCAGTCCTGTATTCCAGCACAACCACAGACGTTATATCCCGCCTTCTGAAGGAGAGGCAATCCCACCCTCCCCTCAGCCCTTCCAGCAGAGGCATCCGCAGCGGCCCGTGCTGTCCGAGGCTGCAGGGAGGGAGCAGCGATGCCGAGGGTTGCAGTTGTCAAGCTCTCTCAGGGTGAAATTGCACTTCCCAGGCTCCAAATGGCACCTCCAGCAAATTGTAAACAAGCCGAAGCCAGGACTTCGGTGGTCGGAGCACACCGGACTCCCGCTGGGTGAGCCTTTAGGCTCCTGTTATTTTGCCACAGTCAAGCTCCCTCTTCTGTGCAGACACGAAGGCAGGAGAAAAACGCAGTCTGATGCTCATCTGAAGAGTCTCCCTGAATCCTAGAGCACCCCAGGGGCTGGAAGAAAACGTTTTCACAAGTGTTTCTACTGCTGTTTCAAATCCATTCGTCATCAACATAAAAAAAAAAGGATGAATTAGCAAAAAAGGGGGTTTTACTTATACAGAGGGATATTTCTCTGCTAAAAAACTCCCTCAAATATGGAACAGGATAATAAAGTTAAAATGTAAGGTATCTACAGACCCCTTTTCCCCCAGAAGTAGCCCAGAATCCATGTACACTGTGCCAAAGTTACATTCCAAATCGAGGAGTTAACTGTTTCTCTTGTCACTCTCCCACTGGATTTCGTTTCCTTAAAAGAGCTGGGAGATGATGTCCACGTCACTCCCGGGAGGACACGCGTTCGGAGGCGTCTGAATTCCTGCTGGGGCTCTGCAGCTTCAGTCGATCTTCACGGCGGCGTAGATTTTCCGGACGAACATGTAGGCTGCGTAGAAGCCGATGGTGCCCGTGAGGAGCCAGAAGGACAGGACCATGAGGGCGGTGTAGCCAAAGTACAGCAAGGAGGGAATGAACTCAACAATATCCAGCTAAAACAGAAGAGAGGAAAAAATGAGCAGAATAATGCACAGTGGTGATGGGAGTCCCCAACCCAGCGCAGTGCCCTCTGCGAGGGGACCTGTGTGCCAAAGGGAGGATTCGTTTTCATCCAGCTGAACAGATTCCCTTCGAGGTGGGGTTGGGAACATTGCTCTGCACAGGTGATCTGGGCAGGGTCCAGACCTACACCTTCCTCTCCCCTCTGGCAGGGCTGTCAGCACCACTGGCTGCTCAGCTGCCTTGGGCTGGCATGGGACAGACTAGGACTCTGCAGTCCCACTATTTCCTTTCCCAAATCCCACAGTCTTCCCCAGAAAGGCAGCACTTTCATACAGGAGGAATAACAATACCTTGTTCACAAAGTAGAATACAGCGTAGATCAGCACATAGAAGGCAGATCCCCCTGACACCAGGAAGGTCCTCCACCACCAGCGGTAATCCTGATAGGATAAAAAGCCTTATTACCCCACAGGCTTTCTTCTTCTGTGGGATAATAATCCTTCTCCTGTCTCAGGGGAGCTGTGACCATTCCAGGACAGGGAGAATATCACACATTTTCCTTCAGAGGAAACCCACAATTTGGGGTGGGGAACTGTTTTGTCACAAAACTGTCTCCAAACCAAGAGGACACGAAGCTGACAGTGAAGCAAAGCCAGGTCAGCTCACAGCACCTCTGGCCCTGCATTTGTTTTTTATGTGCATGGAATGAACCAGTTTCTTTGAGATGTCAGCTGAAAACACCCTGCACCCAGCAGAATTCCTAGTACAAAACCACAGTTCCCAGCCTAACAGATAATCAAGGAGCTTCAATTCCCCTTGAAGCCAAGAGGTGTTGGGAGCAATCCCACCCGTGAAGCTGGGCCACACTAATTTTTGCTGAGCAGCAGCAACAACACGACCTGTGCTTTTCCAGGAGCAAGTACCCTGAGCTACCCAAACTACAAACATGGGAATCTCACCTCAGCACAGAGCTGGAAGTACACCATGACAATGCTGATCTGGGAGCAGGATACCACCAGAATTATAAACACCAGGAAGAGAAAGCCGAAAAGGTAATAGAACTGGTTCTCCCAGATTGCCTGAAACAAAGACACAGCAGGAATTTGTTTCCATGCTACTGTGATCAATCACTGAACATGGGACTAACTTCTGGCAGCCAACCAAGGGAAAATGAGAAGCCCCTCAGCTTCATGGAGATGAAAACACAGATCTAATGTGTCTCACAACATCGCTTCAGAGGATTCAGGTTACAAAAAGATGCACAAGGACAGCTCTGAGGTAGCTTTTCATTCCCCTGCACCTCCCAAGCAATGGAACAGCAAATTCCTCCCTGTCCATACAAGGTGAAAAATGGGCAGCAGCTGAAATAGCGACTGTATTAAGACCAGGACCCCTCCTTGATGTAATATTACAGTAAATTTCATCTTTAGCACAATCCTTCAAATCACCAGGCGTGTCCCATAGCTCTCTCTGGAAACTACCGAATGGTCTGGAGGGAACAGTTCCCTCCCTTCAGTGAGTACAGGAATAGGACACTGCTTCAGTGGAAGCCCCTTCCCTTTCAAAAGCTTTGGCATGAGGGGAATCCTATTCAGGAGCAAAGTGGGTTAAATGCTTACACTGAAAATGAAGAACAGTTCGATGAACATGGCTCCGAAAGGCAGAATACCAGCCATGAGGATCCTACAGAGCCAGAAACAAAAACCATAAGCAGCACAATAAAACTGTTCAGACATTAAAAATTCCTTGTAACCACATAGCACACGCTCCAAAGGATCTACAGCTCCAGATTACTAAAACAAATTTCACAGGCAATGGCACAGCTGCTCCCACTGCTGAGCACATACCACTGCTACAAGCACCCCTCACACCACATCCAAATTACCAGTATTGTCTCAAGGAACCCCATCTGTCCATGTCCAGAGACCAGCAGAAAGTGATGTTCAGCAACCCAAGAGGACAAAGGGGAGGGGGCTTAACTCACCATATTTCCCAGACATTCATCACTCACCCCACAAATTTATTCATGTACCACCTCTGCTCCGGGATCTGCCTGGGAATCTGATTTGTCCGTACAGGATTGTCATATGGCTGCTTGCGAAATCCAAAGTAGTAACCCAAGTAGACCAAGGGCAAGGAGATCCCAAACCACATGCAGAGCAAGGCCACCATGGTAGGGAAAGGCACCTGGAATTACAAGAGTCACAGAACTGAGGCTGACAGTTCACCTGCCCTGGAGACTGATGTCATCAGCCATGCAAACCCTCCAGTCACCCACTACAAGGATACCCATATTTGGAAAGGTCTGGGAAGACAAGTAAGGCCCTGCCAGCCCAGTCACCCCCTCCCACCCAGCAGGCCCCAGGCCGAGGGTGGTACCTACCGCACCAGAGGAGTGTTTCCCCCAGATGAAACAGTTCAGGACGAAGCAGATGCCGAAGACGACGCCCGGGTACAGGGTCGCTGTCTGTAAGAGCAACCACAGCACAAGAGAAGACACATGACTCCATCAGCCAGATGTTCCTCTGTAATGAGTCCAGGGCTGGGATAAGGCACATGTGGAGTAATGTCCCTTTTGCTACAGCACGAGGACACAGGGCTGGGCTGTGGGGAGGATCTTGGACAATCCTCTCTGCTCTAGAACATGCTCTTGTGTTTGCTCTTTTCCGTAGAGCTACAATGACTCAACCCAGAGCAAATCTGAAGCACAGCCAGGCTGTGTCCAGCTGCCACAAACATGTGGAGCTTATCCACAGATCTTGCTATCAGCAAAGCTGGATAAACAGCACGGAACATCCAAGACTCACACAAAAGGCTCCCTTCTTCCACCGATGGCCTTTCAGAGTCCGGTACAAGCGGCCAGCAAAGAATCCACCAAAAACCCTGGGCAGAAACAAGCCAAGACAAAGAGAATGAGCTGTTCTGCTGGGGAGGTGCAGGACAGCACTGGGGGTAAGCCGTGGAGGCACCTACCCCATGAACATGAAGAGGAAGCAGGCAGTTGTCATCAGCGCGCCCCGGCTCGAAGGCGACAGCATCCCCAGCATAGCAACAACTGCGGAGGGAAACAGGACAAGGAACAGCAGCTCTGAGGTACATGGGACAGGGGCCTGTCCCATCCACAGGCCACAGCTGCCTGGAATCTCTGCACAGGCTTAATTCCCTTCACAGCATAACACATCCACAGCCTCCAGCACCGGCCAGAGAGAGGAAGCTTTGATCTCAGCTACAGACCATGCTCCAGCCTCAGCTTCCCCAGGGATGGGAGCAGGTGCAGCTCAGCAGGCAAGGCACACCTGTGCAAAGGTCTCTCAGCACACTGTCACCCAGGGCTCACAGCTTGGCAACACAAAATATAATCACACAAAGCTGCCTTCAGCTGGGAAATGCCATCGGGCAGCTCAGCAATGCTGAGCCCGGGCCAATGGAAGCAGCTTTATGGGCCTCACTCCAGCCAAAGTGAGCACAGGGTGAAGACAAACACCCTCAAGCATCATCCTTATTACAGCCACCCCATGCAGCATGTGCCACTTACAGATGACAATCAGGATCATACAAAAGAGCTGAATTCCAGAACCCAGGAGAGAGCTGAGGATCATAGGATACTGTGGAGGCCTGAAGACATCCCCATGCACAAGTTTCCAACCTGATTCCTCCATGGTATCTTCCTGTAGCAACAATAGAAAAAGAAGGTTAGTTAGATGCGATATGCCAGTGGAAACTGAAGTCCTACCACAGTCACTCTAAGAGGGTAACTTCCCTGGATGCAGCTCTTCTCCAGAATTTTACCACTCTAGCCAAGAAACTTCTTTCCTCTTGGACAAACACAGCTGAGACCTGAACTGCCAGTGCCAGGGCACACATTTCCAGAGCTGTCTGCAGTCATTACTGAGGTCTGAAGACATCTGAACTAGTAATGTGCCATTGTACACTGACAGCCAGAGATGTGTGACAGAACAGCCCCTCCCACGGCCAGGGCTCGAAGCAAAACAGGGGCAAGGGAAGAGATTGCACAAGAGATCCCTCCCAGTCTGCGCTTCCCTCCCTCTCTGATCCCAGCCTCAAGAACAAACACATACAATGTCATCTTCCTTGTTGTAGTTGGCAATGTCCTTCCGCAGAGTCCGGATGATGATCATGCTGAGAATCCCTGAAAACAAGCACAAACTGTGTTCAGCTCAGAGGCTCCTACATGGCTGTGCTGCTCTCACACTGTGCAACTACATGGCTCCCACTAACACACTGTTCTGTCTGGGAGAGGAGGCCTTGAGTCATCAGCAAAGACAGAAACAAAACCCCAGGGGAGTAGAGGAGGCAGTATTCCAGCAGGAACAGGGCACTGTGGCTTTCCTGTGGCTTTTTTTTTTATTTAAATATGGACATGGAAGATGTGCATTCACCACATACTCCCTCAGTGACCCCAGCCAGGCGGGTAACTGCCTGACCCCACAGGGCACTGTCTGAACCGGGAGGGTTTAAGTGCTGTGTTGGTTTCCTGCCCCGTCTGACCAGGTTCAGACATGGCCTCATCCTCCTCGAGCCACCTGCAGCTGAGGCTCAAAGCAAATTCCTTGCAGACACCCGTAAAGGCCTCCCCACCCCACACATCCCCTCACCTGAAAGGAAAAACACGACCACAACTGAGTTGATGATAGAAAACCAGTGGATCTGCACGTCACTCATGGTCAGGTACGTGTCCCAGCGGGAAGCCCACTTGATGTCACTTTCCTGAAAGAGCAGGGGAGTTCTTCTCACATCACCACATTCCTAATGTCTTCCACAACACCTGTGACACACACCTGGAGTATCACTGCCAGCCAGCTCCCCAGTACTGCCTTACCTCCCAGTGCACAGAGTAGGTGAAGAGCAACTGGTTCTCTTTAGTGGGATCTATCTCCTGAGGGGCAGAGCCTGTGGCTTCGGGCAGGGTACACATGCTCTTCTCATCAGCCTTCAAGTCTGTAAGGGAAAACATGGCACACACAGTCAGCCCTTCCCTCAGGCACCACCTCTCCCACGGAGCATCACCTTTAGGGCACTGGGCTGCAGTTATTCCAGGTACTGTGGGGAACCACTCGCTCCTTGCTCACCTGCTCTGCAGTTTGCAAAACTATTCTCCTGACCAGCAGTGGAGCATGATTAACAAACTTTCAGGAAAGCTATGCACAGGGCTCTCCTTAACTGGAAGGATAAAAGCCAGAGGTTCTGAAGCCAAGGATCTAGACCATGAACAAATCCTCTATTCCACATGACATGCTGAGAAAAAAAGACCTCTGCAGCAGAGCCTGCTCTGCCAGAGGAGAGCTGCCCAGGGTGATACACACCATAAGCAACTGCCCTTTGAGACCCTTAACTGATGTAGGAGTGTTTTCCCCTAACCATTATTTTTAACATTCAATCCCCCTGGAACTGTTCCAAACATCCTGTGTGTCCCTGGAAAAGCACACACTGTCCCAGTCAGGGAGATTGCACCACAAGAGCTACATGCCCTGCATGCTTCATACAATGCAAAAAAATGCAACCCCAAAACCTCAAACTCAGGTCTTTTTACAGGAAATTATTTTTCCATGGATTGCACTGCAAGGATATCTCTCTATTGTTGGTACTTCCTTAACAATAAATGGGTTTATTCTTAAAATTGGGACTCTTTCATTTCTGTGCCCTGTGAAGCAACAACTGCCATCCTGATACATCAACGGTATCCAACTCTTGTTCCTATAGGAGACTCTTCCCCCTTGCTCCTCCCCAAGAGTCTCTTACCTTCTAGTTTAATGCTTTGGGGAATCACCTCAAAGCGCACCACCCTGTAGGTGTGCTCCTGGCTCTCTTCCACATCCTCTCTGTGGTAGTAAAGGATGAAGGAGAGGTGGTTGTGCAGGTAGAACTGAAAGAGTGACATGAAATAAAGTGTCAGCACCCCAGGGCAGGAACAGGCAAAGCTGAGAAGCAACAGCTGCAGAAAACAGTTCCAGTGAGGAAAACTAAAGACACTCCAACATCAGAGACCAGCCAGTCTTGGAGGCACAGTGGTTTTGCTCTGCTGAGGGGAAGCCACTGCATGAGCATGTCCAAAGTTACACAGTGAGTCAAAGGAAGGACTCCTGGCTATCGTACCAACAGTCCAGCACCCATCCCCTGCTTCCCACGAGAGACCCCTCTCTCATATTTCCACTCTTTATAAAACCTTTTGGTTGCATTCCCAATTCTGATACTCTCTGGCAGACCTCTAACACCCTCTGACAGACACCCAGATCTCCTCCAGGCACCCTCAGACAGCACCTCAATGCTCTACCTTGTTACCGTCCATAAACCCAAGCCTATATCCGTGCTCGAACTGCACATCCTTCTCCTTCTTCTTCTCCTCTTCCTCACGATTGGAATAAAACTCCAGCCGTGTTGCCACAGGGAGGTTATCAGCAATGCTGAAAACACAGATTTCAGATCAAATTTGTCCATAGCACCAAATCCCCTCTGACACAAACCCACGCCAGAGGTGACTCACAGGTGGACGTAGTAATCCTCCCTGATGCGCTCGGCGATCAGCTTGCTCTGCTCCACTGTCAGAACGACTGGCTTGTTGGGAAAGTTACACAGAACTTCACATTTCTTCTCCACGTTCATGGAAACCTGGAAAGGTGTATTTACAATTCGGTCCCCACGAAGAACCTCACCTGGAAAACAGGAAAATAGGGGCAGGGTTGGAGACTGCCAGGCTTCCTGCCAACCGGGCACTGTGCAGCTGGAGGGACCACAGCAAGTCTCCTTTGCTGCCATGGATCAGACTGAAGGACAGTTTAGCTACTTTGTTGGAAGTATCAAGCACTACTTATGAGGCAGGTTATATGCCCTCCTTCAGTAAAGGCATTTCCTCTGTCCAACACACGGACACCACTGTTTGCAAACAGCCGGCACATAGCGAATCAGAGGAATCAGGTTCTCCTCACAGCTCAGCAGAGGTGACATTTCCAATTGCTTTTAGCCCTGTAAACATCCCCCCACGCTGTGGGACTGCTGTCTGACAGGTTACACACCGAGGTTCTCAGCCTTGTAGGTTATCTTGCTGGGCTGGCAGAAGGGCAGCGAGTAGTACTCGTAGGGCAGCTGGGTCCGGGAGCTGGTGAGCTTCACAGCCTGCAGGAAGAACGGAAGGATCATCCCCAGGAAAGGACTCAAGATAATTTCCTGACCTCTCAGCATCAGCCAGAAGCTGACACTTGAACTCCAAGACCATAAAGCTCTCTTTTAGAAGATACTACTACTAATATTAAAAATAATAATAGAGACAGATGTTCCTGAGAGACCTCCGGCTTGCTTCCCTTTTGCACCATTCCCAGCTGTACATTCCCTGCATTACAATTTAGTAGAAATTCATTCACAGAGAAACACTGGTGGTTTTGCAAATCCATGTCCCAGTGGAGTCCTAAGAGCTCAAAAAAGATTCAAGAATCGCAATTCATACAAGATTTCCTCAAAAAAAATAATTCATATCCCACTGGACTTCCTGGGCCCTGTCTGGCCTCCAGGGCTATGAAAAGTTCAGCAATTTTAATCCTGCAAGGAAAGCCAGAGAGCCATCAGACTGGGAGAAAAAGGGTTGGTGACAAACCCCAAACATTTCTGGAGAGTTCCCACAAATCACAGGGCACAAGGGAAGTGCAGAGACACACCACAACAGCCAAGGCCACAGTTGCTCTGAAAAACAGAAGTGTTCTGTAACACAGCCAAGCTCGTTTATTGGAAGAGCACTGGCAAACACACCGACTTGCCTTAGCAAGGAGGGAGCATTTGGCTCCTGAAATCCCTTTGAGAACAGCCATTCCAATACCCCCTTCTTCTGGGAAGCTTACTGTAGCCACAGGCAAGTCTCATTTGCTTAAAAATAGCCAATGTCTGGCAGCCTGTGGCCAAAGAGAAAAGTGTGCTGTGCTTCACGTGGGAGCAGCCAACCTCAGCAGCCCCCAGGGTGCTGGATTTGCTGAGACAGAGGCCACAGCTTTAGAAAAATAAATGAAATGGGCTATAAATCACTGATGTCTGGAAGCAAAGCCTGGCCTCCTTCTGGATGGGTGTAGCAGCTCTGTCGTTCAGTACCAGCAATGCTGCATGGAAACAGCTCCCAGCAAGGCTGGGCTCTAAGATCTGCGAGGCTCAAGGACAGGCACCTCCACTTGGGAAGGGCTTATCACAGGTTTCCCTAGTCCTGAAGACACAACACGAGCAAACCAGGTAGAAGAGAAAATTAAGAAGGTGTGATTTAAACCACTACTTTATTCCATACCTTCCACCCCAAGGCCCACCTCTGTAAGCACTTTGAGAGTCAGTATAATGTTAGAGAAATTGAATTCACTTCAAAGCCACAGTGAAAAAGGGGCTCTTTTTCCACATGGAGCAACATCTCAGGGATTTTAGTGCAATTGCTGAAGGAATTTGGTAGAAGGTATCAGGGGCAAGAACAAGAATCATGTTGGGAACCGAGTGTAAGATGAGGACAGTGATCACTTGAGGGTGGTCCCAACCACCTGACACAAATGCTGTGAAACAGAGAAAATATCTGACCCCAAAATTGTAGCAACAGGATCCCCAAATTTGACTTTCCATCCCCCCTTAGCTGCTATGATATAAAAAAAAAACCAAACAAAAGATAAAGTACCCCCAAATCAAATGGACTAAGAGCACCAAGTTCATCCTACCTTTATTTCTACAGGATCATTGCGGTGGAAGTTGATAGGAGCCACCCCAGGTACATAGAATGACTCTGTACCATGCAGCAACAACAGCAAGACCAGCATATACCTTAGCCTTTCCTGAAAAAAAAAGGAGAAGAAACAGTAAAATATAATAGAAAAGGCAAGAACAACATTAGAGATGGACAACAACACTGGAAGCATTCATCCCAGACATTAGAGAGGCTGCACTGTCAGGTGATTAAACAGAAACTAAATTCACAAAAGCAATTAGTAGCTTTGTTTTGTGACTCTCACCAGGTCACTTTCTGCTCTAGGTGTCTCTGCCTCTTCATCTGCAATCAGGAAAACTCTGGCTTTGCTAAACCACAAGAAAAATGCACTTTTTAGCTGCACCACGGGGCACTGAGCAGGCTGTCACCGGACTTTTCTGCTCCCACCCATCTGAGCTCCCCGTGTTGGAAAACTCCAAGGATTAGTAGAGAAGAGGGCTGTAGCCCTGGCACTGGATGCCTGTCAGCTCTGCACGGCAGCAGTTACCCTGGAGCCAATTACAGATGGATGCCCATGTGCTGCTACCTGCAGCAGAGTAGTTATTGTGGGCTCAGGTGTGACACCAAAGCACCCAAAGGGATGGTCACAGCACTGCTCCCTCCTTTCCTCACCCCTCCAGGCCACAACACAACTCAGTAATACAGAAAAGGCTTTTCCAACTCTTTTTCAGGCAGCAGGAGGACAGGTCAGGCTGGAAGGCTCAGTCTCCACGAAGGCTCCAACAGAACCCAAGCCCCGCCAGCAGCAGCAAACCTTTTATTTAACACACCTTGCTGCCTCCTCAGCCCCTCCCATCACCTCAGGTGACCCAGCTCTGGCTGTGAAATGAAAATCGAGCTTTAAAGAGTATTAGCCAGCAGCAGCTTGCCTGGATTAAGACATCAGCTCTGGTGTAATCTCACAGCACTGCTACCTTCAGCCCCTCCTCCCAAACTCCCTGCTTGTACCAGCACCACTGGAAAACCACACAAAACCTGGAGCTTGGTTTGGGACAACTCTTGAGTTAATGCTGCAGCTGTAACAAACCAAATCCCTGCTGTCTCTGTCCTCAGCACAGTCAGGCTGGCACACAGCACCAGAGAGAACACTCCAGAGCTTGGTATCCACAGGCCAGGTGCGGACAAACAGCATCCCTATCCCGGGGATCCTTCCTCAGGTTTTGGAAAAAAAATATATTAAAAAAAAATAATCTGTGTTTACTGCCCCCACACCCCTTCCTCTTCATCACCTCCCTTATTCTGAGGTGAGGAAGGTACGTTCGTCCTAGACACCAGCAAGGGCCAACAGAATTACTGGAACTGAACAGAATGAAAGAAAAAGCCATAAATATTGGTGGGTTTAAAATCTCCAATGTATTTAAAATGCAATTGCTAAGCACCTACAGAAGATGTTAGTACTGAATCATCAGATACATGTGGCCTCTCAGTACCTGAAGGAAGACTGAGAGATACTATTTACAAGAGCAGGACAAGGAAGAATGGCTTCAAACTGACAGAGAGTAGGTTTAGAGTAGATATTAGGAAGAAATTCTTAATTAATTTCTTCATTAAGGGGGGGTGAAGCACTGGCACAGGTTGCCCAGAGAAGCTGTGGCTGCCCCATCCCTGGAAGTGTCCAAGGCCAGGTTGGACAGGGCTTGGAGCAACCTGGGATAGGAGAAGGTGTCCCCACCCATGGCAGGGGGTTGGAACTAGGTGAGCTTTAAGGTCCTTCCAACCCAAACCATCCTGAGATTCTGAGATCTTTTATGTTGTTACCTGTAAACCAAAACCATACAGGTGCCACCCTTGCCCCAGAGGGCTTGGAGGTGACAAGACCAGGACGGAACTTCAGCAGATGCTCAGGAGACACGTCAGCACATAGAATATGAAATTTTTGATGACAAAAATTTTGCAGAAATCAGGCTCTTTGCAGACAGATGATGATGACTCAGGCAGCACCAGGCACCAGAAAAGACAAGAGGGCAACTCTGGAAGGCTGTGCCAGGAAAGAACAGTTGGTAGCAAGGTATGAGAATGCTGCTATGCAACAGGTGGGGGAGCTCTGGAAGTGAAATTTGAAGGAAATGCCCAGTGGAGGTTCCTGAGCTGGCAGAGCACAGGGAAGCTGATGCTGAGGTTTTTTCTTGTCAGGATCTTTGCTTTTGTACTGACAGATGTGCTTCATCTTCTCCAAACAAAGGCATCAGCTTTAGCAATGGCAACTAGGACACCACTGCTTTGTGGGAGGAAAAGAAAAATCCACTGAAGGATTACACATGTAACCTTTCATTCTGCCCTCAGGCACATCAACAGGACACTCACAGTGGTAATGGCACTCTCTCCATGACTCATCTCACACCCCAGCCCTGGCCAGCAGTAACCTTTGTATCAGCACACATCCTTTATCCACACTGTCATGGAAATATTCTTCTGGGAAAGCCATGAGGAAATCTGTTTTACTCCTACAAGACTCCAAGGCAGGTAAGTAACGTCCCAGCAGCTCGTTTTCTCCTCCGTGAGGTGGCACTGATGCTCAGTTACCTTAGCAAAGTCCCACTAGGACCATATGCAGCTCTCTGAGGATTCAGGGAATAATTCAATAATAACAACAGGGATGCTGGGACGACGGGAAGGTGAAGCAGTTGCTCGCACCCCGGCCCGACAATTACCACCGAACACCTGTGAAAATCACACACAGCGCAACAGCCGCTTTGCTTGGCACCAGCACCGGGTCCAGGGCGACGCCTTCATTCCAGAGCGCGGCACAGCGAGGGGA